ATAATTCGTTGATTTCAACTCCATCTATATTTCATAATTGTTTTTCCTTAAACAGGATTCAATTATTCTTGTCAAATATTCTCTCTATCTTTTTTTTTTTAGAGGAGGAGGGGGGAGAAACAGCCCCGAGAATTTGCTTGAATCAATAAATACTATTATTACATAATAAATCAGGGCTAGACCTCGGCAGTTTTACTCATAAGCATCGGAAACTGCAACAAGCATAAAATTCCATATATGATTTTTTTCAACATCATGAGTATGCCTTTTACAAACAACAATTGGAAAAAGACATCACTCCGTTACGTCTAGTTCTCACGACTCAGGAATGTCAAACAGCTTGAACTCCCTTCCACCTTTATCCAATCAAACCTTGATTTCTGGTTCATATTATCATATATCTCACGAATCCTTAGCCCCCACGAAACAAAAATGCCCGAATTAATTTCTTACAAGTACTCAAAAAAAAAAACTAAACACATTTGGGTAAGCAAATTCAAGAAAAAAATATAAGAAATATAGAAAAGATATAAAAGATATAAAAGACACACATTAAAAATCCAAATAATGGATACTCATTTTCATATTGCATGCTCGTTTGTGCTTACTATCCTTGTAGCGAATCGGCTGATAATATTTATGAACTTGAAAGCCTTAACGAGTGTAATTGGTATAAAACCAGAATTGAATTGAAAAACTAACTATAATTTTAGCTGAAAAAAAATTGCCTAACTATGAACTTCACAAACACATACATATTCATATACAAGTGTATAAAAATTTTCCACACACTTTTCAAAGTGCGTGAACTTATATAACTTTGACTTGTTTCTTAAATGAAAGCAATAGAATCGGTTCTAAATGTATCTTACCATCATCACAAAAAGATTAAGATAAAATAGCGTTCTTTTTTCTTGAAAAATACTAACTCTTTTTGCATTCATTTAAGAATACAAAAGCGTAGTCTGTAATACGATTACAAATTCAGTGAGATATCAGTATTTACTCTGTGAGAAAAAGTAAAGAAAAATCTGCCTATGATTGACCATAAGCAGGTGGTGGCATCTGATTAAAACTCATAGTCCTTGTCGAGCCGGCAAGAATACCTCTGCCAGATGCCTGGGGCCTTGGTTCAGCTGCAAACGAACCCATTCTTGATAAGTTTTGGCTCCTGGGATCCAACGAACAGACGCTCTTGGCGTACTTACTCATCGCTTCTGCCTCCTTGATATCCTCAACCTCTGCCTCGTCATTCCACAACCAGATCCCATGCTGCGTAACGTAGATGCTTACCACAAACATGACCGCTCCAACAAAGAAACCGACCGTCAACATAACAGAAGCAATGCGCATGTTTGAACAATACGCGCCGTAACCAGAAGAGGCTTTACTCGATTCCTTATCGGTTTCGTAAACGGAGATGAACTTATCGATGATAAAGTTGCAATCCATCACAGGCAACACATAAGAGAGGGCCGTAGTTCGGTTGATTGCAAAAGTAATAAGTTTCATAGCATCATTTGCCCAGTCCTTCATTTTGAGATCGGGAGCGTCATAGTTAATGCAACTTTCGTTACACATAGGAATGTTGCACACCTCCTGATATTCCCAGTTGCTGTTATTCACGCAAAGCATATCGGAAAATTTGGTCTTGGCACGTGTGTCATAAAGCACGTTGAGTGCAACATCGATAGTACCACACTCATCTTTCTTTTGTATATTCTTTCCACATATAAATGGTTTATTGTATTCGTCGTCATCGGCGTTGCTGCATCGCTCCAGAATGTGTTCGCAGGTGTTCATTGCCGTTTCCCCCGTTGAATCAATAATGGATTGGCGAGTTTGACTGAAGGAGAATTCCTTCTCGCACCAAGGCACATAATACCACTGGAAGAGACCGGGCTCACGTCGGTTCTGTAGGGTGATCTCCCCACAAAATACGAACGTGATGCACGTGAATATCGCAAGTAAAATAGCCATAATTGAATAGATAATGGCAAAAATGTAGTAGATAATACCAAAACTGAATGCACCCACAGTATTAAAGCGACAGTAGGCAATAACGAAACAGCTCATCATGAGTACAATACCAATGATACCTATAATAATGGAAACAGTACGGACAGTTGTGAAGTATTTAAGATAATTTTCGCGAATATTATCCACTTCGGATTTGAGCTTTGTACTCATTTGATCAAATCCAGATAGATCAAAAGTTGGCTGTATCGGAGGAGTTTTAGTATAATCAACAAGAAGATCATAAATCGTGCTTTTGGTCTGCTGAAAGTATGAAACTGCATCACCACTAATGTAATCAGTACTCTTATCGATGCTGTTGGAAAGCAAGGTTGACCCATATATAATTAAGATGGCCGAGAAAATCGACCAAAAAAAGTTAATATTAATCGCCATCCACAGCCAGCAGCGTGATCGTGCCAAATTTGTCGTGCGAGTGAAACTGAAGCAGTAGTCTTCACAACAAAAGCTGTTAAAAGCGAAAACAATCGGCACAACAATAAGAACAAGAGCAGCAAATACGATGAGAATGATAGGAATGGCGTAGTATCCTGAATGCTCGCCAATATTGGTGAAATCCTTCAGACACTTAGCAACATCATTATTTTCGCTGGGTCCCTTCCACGTATTTTCGCAACCAAACGAGCGCTCGGCATGCGCGACAGGTGTCATCGAAATAAATAACGCTAACATGTAGACACCCAGAAGGGCGAATGTAAATTGGTGAGAACGCATGGTGAAGGTAATAATAACCAATATACAATTAACGCTTTTTATGAAAATTTATACTCAAACAATATATTTCAAATCAGAAAAAAAAACACTTGGAAAATTAAAAACCTTCACCAAAAAAACAATATATATATGAATTGAAAAGGCAGCGCGAAATGAGTGTAGGGAGCGAAATGATAGATCACAATTCAAGAATGTTAATCAACCAAAACATATTAGCACACACAAACCATCTGAAAGAGATAGAAATAAACACATTGAAGGTGGCTGCAGCTCAGGGAATCAAGTCATCCACGGATCTCACCATATATATTTATTTTACATAATCATCTCAGCTGAATTCATTGGTGTTGATGTTGTTGCTTTGTTTTACAGGCATCCTGTCCCATGAATGCGTTTAATTTAACATCTCATAGGTTACTGCTACTTTCAAAGGAACCAGGATAGAATTTTTCGGCAGATATCCGGATGTTTGCATTCCTCACATAAATCACGCATTGTACTAGCTACGTTCACTGATGCCAGAATCTTATGAACTATCGCCAGAAGCACCGCAGTAACGATCTTCTGGTCAACTTCCTCATCATTTGTCTCCTCAGTTCCTTTTCTACTCCATGGTAAGGAATTTATAGTGGGGAAATCATCAAGTCGGAGGAGATAGACAAAAAAAGGAACCAAGTGTCTTACGGATCCGCACCAAAAAGCAGCTGTCACGTCTTGCGCATCCCATACCCCTTGCTTGGCATCACGAAATATTGGAGATCGTGCTTTCCCGCCACCGGCACCTATCGAACCAGCAGCACCAGCTTCCTGCAAAGCGCTCTTCAATGTCGTCGGTGATGCGGTAAACCACTTTGATGAATCCCCATCTCCGCTCGCCACAGAGAGATCCAGCGGTGACGCTGTTTGCACAAGACTACGAAGCGTTAATGAAAAATCAGCCGCACCCTCGTTGATCTCTGCCCTTTCCAGTCCTCCCTGCTCGTTTGTCTCTCTGCGATCCGCACGCATCGAATTTGAATTGCCCTGGTTATGTAACTGGATCCTTGCTACCTCTGACTGTGCGGTTTCACCCAAAGGGGGCAGGAAAAAGTCAATTAGTTTCAAATCCTTCAGCAATTGTCGACCTTGAACTTCAATATCTTGAGGGCTCATTGCTGCAGCGGCGAGGATCTGCAGAATCTGAAATGGGGTTGCGGAGCGCCACCCATCACTAATTTTCTTTTGTGGTTGAAGCAAGAGCAAAACAGTGTGCACGACAGCGCCAACATTCCATGTCTGGTTTAGCGGCATTACCGCGTAGCACGGCTCAATGCATCCATAAAGCATACTAATTGAAGGTGAGGATGCAAAAGTATCTGCAGAAGCTTGTGTTTCCTGATCCAAGTGTGCATTTTTTTCGTTATTCCAGGATTCTGAGAACGAAAACGGCCGCGCGCCTCCTCCTGGTATACTTAGCCTCATGTGATGATCTCCCAAAGGTAAAAGAGAACGACTAAGTGCCTCCGGTTCAGTATCTAAGAGAAGATCGACCCAAGCTCCAGCGATACGCGGATGAACGTCCGGTAGCAGACGCCGCCCAACAATCGACAGGGCAAGTTGTCTATGAATATCAGGGCCTTGTTTAAAGCTTAGTAAAACCTTCACAACCGTATCCTGTAAAGAAGATTGTAGATCAACTGAGGTAGAGAAGCCTGGCATCTCTTTTGATATCGCTACCGACTCGTCGACCACCGCACGCGGCAAAACTAACTCACCCTGTGAAACCCGTTGTTTCCTAGTGGAAAAAACGTAGGCGACCTGCAAAGAAAGCAGAGAAAAGAACTCAAGTGTGAGAACACGCAGCTCCCATGTTTGCAGCGTTGGCGCTAGGTACGCTTCCACCGAGACGGCATCATAGGGTGTAGCTGAATTCACGTTCATGCGTAGGAAGGGTTGAACAAAAGTCCACAAAATGGATGATGGAGACATGCTAGATCCTGAAAAGTTCGCCGGGGTTAAGGCTTCCTCCACCCATGAGCGAACAGAAATGAGCAAAATCAAGAATGCAACACCCACGCAGCGCTGCTCCAGTGTCTCCTCGCACAGTGAATTCAGTGCAAAAGATGAAATGCACTTCTTTAGCTGAGCTAAGTCAGTATCATTACCTCTTTCCGTGATCTCCTCAAAACCGCTTTGAAGTAATCGGCGAAGAATATGATACACTGTGAGGCTGAACCGGAAGTAGCTTTTCCGTCCTCCAAATGGCTTGTGGATAGAAATGCTCCCATGCGCTGCGCTGGATAGGGTACCATTATCATAATGAAAGGCAGGTGTGATATGTTCCTCGATAAATCCGAGTATCCTCGTAATGGAATAAAATTTTCTTGCATTAATGCTATCCGATCCCTGACCATTTTGAGGATCATTTGAGATGCTCTGGATAATCATCTCTTCAAGGCATGGCTCTTCCTTTTTGCAGTGAAAACTTAGTGTTGACACAAAGACACGTGCAACAGCCTCCACAACGGCTGGAGTACCTTCTTCTAGCAGCACACGCCGCGAAGCTGAAAGAAAGTAGGTTGACATTACGTAAATTGGAATATCGTTTTCGGATGGGCAATAAACCGCCTCATACTCTTCAGCCTCATCACCCTGGAAGCTATCCCACCAGGCTGTCGCAAGTGAGCTGCCCACACGACAAAGAAATATAAGAGAATTCACCAGGTGGAGGGCCTGATCGTTGGAGCATACCGCCTGCTGCCGCATCGAATTGATAGTGGGATCCGAATCCATGAAGCCAAGAAGTGCATCAGCTATGCGCTGCACCAAATCGCACTGATGAGAGTCTTCCTGCACAGATGGAGTGTCTTCCTCCACGTCGCCTGCTGGATTCAAGTCCCTGCAACTTTGTGCTTCAGGGGAACACGCCCCCCCCGTCTCTTTACTCATAGAGAGGGAGATTGGCTTGATGTGTAGTGCATTCGAAGAGTTTTGGATCTCTCCGGTTGAGACGTGCAGTAGAGGAACTTTGGCAGATTCACTTGAAAACATAAAGCAAAGGGCCTGAACCAGGTAGGAGTACTGGTCTGGCTGGGCGTGGATTGAGGCGGCGATTCCCGGGGCATGGAAACCAAGTATCCTCCAACAATCCTGTAGTGCGCCTGACGGCACCGCATGTCGGTTTGCGAGCAAGGCAGTAAAGAGATCATACTGCACGGACTCGTCATCGGTGTTGAGATTTATATCAGAGAGGCTCGTCAATAAGTTAAGCACACCATGAGCTGCGAGAACATCCCGCAGTACATGCGATATCCCATCCCGCAGAGACCATACATACGCCTCAAACAGTGCGATGGATTCCTCCTCCGAGCATTTCGACAACGAGGAGGCCTTTACGCTACTATCAGTGTGTTTTGAACCCATTTGTGGAGTAGAGGAATGCAAAGGATCTTGTATGCTGCGTTTTTGGAATGATCGGTTTGCTGGTTTCTTCGAGACCAAAAAGAATCGTCCACGAATGTGCTTTGCGAGTGAGATACTGGTAGTGGTAGTGGTGGCCGTCTCCCCTCCTTCCTGTATGTTTGTACCAAATGATAGCCGTTTTCTCTGCTTAGCCACATCAGAAGTACGAATCAATCGACTAATCGAAGCGTGTTGCTTGACAATCTTGCGATTTCTTACACAAGAAGTGCGTTCATCTTCCACATATTTCGAGCGATCCAGCGCCACTTGATGGCGATCGTCGTTGGCCACCCGCAGCAACGTCGAGGCAGTGTAAAGAGTGTAGCTTGGTTGCGAGAGGCAAGACGCACCAGCTGCCAGCTCCGCATTCCGCGTAAGTGCTACGAGTTCCTGCAAGCGGTGGGCATGTTTGCCTGGGCTTTGGAATAGCTTAAGATGATCGCCAGCCGCCCCGGGGGAAACGTTTGTGCCCTCCGCTGACACTTCATCAAATTCCGGCATTACGATTGTGGATGAAGGGCACGCAGTACCATGAATTATACCCAGGGATGGTGTTTTTCGAGCAACTCCCATTAATTTAGCCGCCATAACTGTTGTTTCCTCAGAGACCAAGGCGCCCTCTTCACCCCCTCGCATACACTTAGCCCCACTATGTGAGGCAAGCAATGAAGGCATAGGGAGTGTTTTTTTGGTGAAAAACTTGTATAGATTATCAAGAACGATCTGTGCAGCGCCTGGATGCAGACGGAGAATGGCCTCCACGAGCGGAGCCGTTACCGTCTCACACTTCATGCCCTGCAGAGTGCGCAAGATGAGGCTCCAATTATGACGCCGACTCTCGGCAGAGACACCTGTGAGAATACCCGTCATCGAAAAAGCAACACGGGGGCTGTCACAGTTACTATTATCGTTTCGTGCATGACAATACCTCGAGATAATTTCGGCAACCAAAACTCCGTTGGCTAAGTCTCGTTTCGGGTTACGTATAGGGCTAGAGAGGTCTAGGGACTGCACCCATTTGATCACCTCGCGTTGCATGGATCTTCTTCTGTCTTTTAGCCTATACCTCCCTAAAATCAGATTAGGCGCTAACTCCAACACATTATGTGCATAGAAAAAGAGAAGAGGATTGACATGGGAAAAAGAAACACTTCGATGGAATCTTTTAGAAAGGATTCTTTTTTTATAATGAAAAAAATAAAATATAAGGAACATATGGTTGAGTCACGAGTAAAAAGCGAATTCATTGTTAAAAAGTGGTGAAACAAAATAGTAAAATATATTTAGCTAAAATTCCCCACACACTTTAGAGTATCAAATATTATTAATTATTTGCTACATTATGTGACAATAGCGCCAATATTTTTGAATTCCGAAAACGCGTACGCGCACTTGGTACGAGGCGCTCTGCTTAATAATGTGTGCGCATACAACTCCAATTATTCTACTCTGAAACACCTCAGGCCCTTTGGCCCCCTGACCAGACACAAGCAGTCCTCCTCTTCCCTTGAATCTTCAGCGGCGCGCTTCGCTTCTATTCATGCGACCCTTGCATCTACTTTAATCTCGCTCGGATCCTCGGCAGGGATTTCGATTCCCCAATCGCACAGCTGGCGCTGGTAAAACGGCACCCCGTCTTCCCAATCCGTAAGAATCTCACACCCCTGGGGAGTCGCCACGAGGGTGTGCTCGAATTGCGCGCTACGTTTGCCATCCTTGGTGGTGCTTGTCCATCGATCCGGCCACGTCACGTCCTGCCAGGTACCCAGGTTAATCATCGGCTCCACGGTGAAGACGTGCCCGGTTTTGATAATCCCGGGGCTCTTGCTGTTACGGTAGTGACAGACAGTTGGGGTGGTGTGGAAGAGTGCGCCGACTCCATGCCCAGTGTAGGTGCGCACCACACTGCAGCCTGATTTATCCGCACGGTCCTCGATGGCATCGCCAATGTGCTTGTAGAGCGTGCCAGGCTTGATCACGCTGATCCCAGCCATCATACAGGCGTAGGCGGTGTGCACGAGACGCACCGAATCTGCATCCGGCCTTCCCACAAAGACGGTCTCGTTCAGGTCCCCGTGAAATCCCTCGAGATATCCTGTCACGTCAAGGTTAATAATATCCCCTTCCTCCAACTCGCGGCTATCGGGGATCCCATGGCAGATAACTTCATTCACGCTCGTACACAAGGACTTTGGAAAGTTGTAATAATTTAATGGAGAAGGATACATCTGCCGTTCAATAGTAGCCTCGTGCACGATGCGATCAATTTCATCGGTGGTGATCCCTGGTCTGATGGCTTTGGTTGCAATATTCAGCACATCGCGACTGAGAGCACAGACGCGCTTAATTTTCAAGATATCCGACTGCCGACGAAGATTAACATCTTCGTAATCGTCGTGAAGATGCTTGATGTTATAACTGATCACTTTGTTGTTGCCACGATTCCTTTCTTCCAAAGCAGAGACTCCATCGTTGCGCAGCGCGTAATCTGGCTTCGCGATACTATCCGGCACTGCACGCCGCGGGGTTATTTTCCATGGGCGCAACGGACCCGTAAAATTAAAGTTTTTTAACTCAGAATCTGTCATTGTGGGTACTGTTGCCTGCAAACACTGCGGCTGGCTGTGCTTCAGCTTATGTTCCGCCCAATTTTTCTTAAAACACTCTTGTGAGCAGAAAAAGCTAGGTGGTAAACCGAACTTCTTGCAGGTAGGGCACTGAAGAGAGGCATCGCCCAGGCCACATCCTTCGCAAGGCATTGATATAAACTGTCAAAAGGAATACTAACTGTTTTGGTATCTAAATAGATGGACATAAACGTATATAAATGTATATATTCAGGAACGCTTACTTTTAATAGGTGGAAAAAAAACGCAATGAGGAAGTAGATGTTCATTGGACTGATGTTTGAGTGATACTACATGACAGTGCATTCAATTATCAAAAGATGTGAAACAATTGATCTAATGTGCGCTACACAAACATGCGGAGCAAAAAGGTTGCCTTTACAAACAGATCCATACAAATAACTATTAAATAAAGAGTACGAAAGCAATAGCGAGGCATAGAGAGACACATAACACATTTTTCACAAAGAAAAGGTAAAAAATAAAATGTGGTCTGTATTTAAAAAAAAAAACTACACCCTAATAAGACGCCACTCGCTTCGGTTTTTTTGGTTCGAACAATCTCTTTGTTTAAATAAGTGCCCCCAAATAACAATCAACGTTGAAAAACGCACCATTACAGAAACGCGCTAGCGCCAATCATATCAACTCCGAATAAAAATACATGGCAAAACATATGGAACTTTACACGTTACCTTCACTTGTATATAACCCCAATAGGAAAGAGAGGGCGGAATCATACATTATGAAATTCAACTAGTTCAGAAAAAAGAAGCATCTGCTATAAAGTACATATAAAGCCTTGAAAATAAAACTTCTTATTTCTAACATGATATGTTTTCCAAATTTTCATATTTACTATATTGCCCTGAAATAATCAATAATCCTTCTGAATTATAAATTATTATACAAGTTTCCATGTATCTATATATATATAAAGGTATATAGACACAAATATAGACATATATTTCTATCCATCGAACGACTACTGCATCTTTAATGAATGCTAGCGAAAAACGAGAAGGCTCTAGTACGCACATATCTGTGCCCTGAAGATATTCCCGCTATGCATCACTCTAAAGGGAGGAGAGAAAGTAACAGAAGAAATGTGGTGTGAATTGCAAAACGCATGGCCCACCATTTCCTATTAAAAAATATAGAGCCCCCCATACGACGTTGCCAGGTCAATCCGATGTTCCACACGTGAAAAAAAAGGAAGAGGCACACCATTTCTGGCGTATTAATTAAAATCTAAAATAACAAAAGAAAGTGAATAACTCCAAATAAAGAGCTTCCCACACCCAACCAACTTACCAATAATAACGTCATTTACATAATACTCGAAACTAACAAGAGAAGGTCAAAACTACCATAAGTTACAATGACCAAACATATTCATTTGGGTATTAATAAACATCTATCTGCTATACTGATGCAAATCTACACAAAAAAAAGAAAAAGAGAAAAAAAGAACGCACACCGAGGTAAGACTCAGTGTAACTAACATCAAAGAAAATAAACACCCAAAATGAAAGCCAAGAAACAGAATGGTCACGTAGAAAAAACGACCCTCACGATAATCTCTATCACAATCACGATTAGTGCTTAGAGGAGGCCTTTATTTTTGGTGCATATGTTCATGAAGACTTTTTTAATTCATTAATATCACGCGACACTCATTTGCTTTCCTCTGTGGTTAAATCTAGCACATTCACCGAAAATGTTTCTCGGGCTAAAGATTCAATAGGTCGATTCAGATAACTCACACCTTCGTTACTCATAGCACGACTACTAGACAAGCATCGATTTAAACCCGAGGACTTCACCGGGGGGAAAACATTTTGTAAAATCCCTGGTCCACCACAAATACTTCTTACCCCCTCTCGAGCAATCTGCACGCGTGTGCGTGCGACTTCCTTTATCAGAAGCTCTCGCATCGAAGCGCCCTCGGGCGATTTGCTAAGGTCCTTCCCAGATTGTCGCGTGAAGTCGGACGAACTTGCGGCAGCTCTAACATCATCATTCGAATACTCCCGCAGATGAGACCTAAAAGACGCTGACGTTGATGCTGGCCGGCACCGATGATTACACTGCAGTTCCATATACCTGAGCCGCTCCCACTCATACTCGCTACCCCCATCATCCTTGCCGCCGCAGTCGAAAAAGTCCTCATCCTTGTCAAAGCCGATGCCGAAGACCTCGCCACCAGAGCTTGACCCCAGGGCAGTGGGCGGAGAAGGACCCCTCACAGTGACGGCGCCCTCACTACCCTCGGTCTCGCGAGCGGTAGCGAGGGGGGAAGTGCTATCCCCCTCGACGCTTGTTTCGGGAGATGCGGAAGACGAAGCCGGGTGCCGATGACGCTGATATAATAAACGTTTACGTAGAGAAACGATGGCACTCCCGGTGAGAATATCACCCGTCGTAAGCGAAGAGATCGCATTTACGGTTTTAGAACATTCTGAAGATTCGTTAAGACGGCGACTTGGCATTTTCTTGGGATATGCTGTGACCGCTGGCCGAGGCTGTGCCCCTGAAGTTCTTAATGGAGTCATGCGGCTATTGCTGTATCCGTCATGGTGATCAGACAGGGCAGGGAGTGGCCGCGCGGCCGCGGAGGTTGAAGGCCTAGTGTATACTTCTCGATGCTGCATCTCCATTGCCCGATCTAGCGCATCGTCGAATCGAGTATTTCGTATGCAGTCCTGCAGAAGAGCCAATTCTTCTGTTAGCGCAGCATCTAACGGATCGATAAACACATGACTTTTCCGCTTCAAGTTCCTTTCAGATAGCGAAACCGACGCGCAAGCTTGGTCTGGCTGGCGTCTGGCCGCGCCCCCCACAGGTGATGATGGTGGCAACGGAGAATCGCTTGCGGCTCTCACCACAATTTCACCGTGAGGAGACGCCTCCCCTCGGCTTCGGCCACTTCGTTGCGCCTGGTCCTCCCAAAACGACTCGGCATGGACTGGTATATCGTCTAGGAGCTGAAGCTGCGGCATATGGAATTGGACCCACTTTCTGAGTATGTTCACACTACTGTTACACGAAAAGAAGTCAGATGTCTCTACAGCCGTCGAGACCTTTCCTTCTGTCGGCAAATCATTTCGGTCGCCTTCGTTGTGCAACGAGATGTTACGCATCAAATCTTCAACTGGGGTGTTCTCTATAGGGTTACCTTGCAAATTCAAGGATATCACATTGTGAAGTGAGCATATAACGCTACTCAAAGTAGCACTCCACGCAATCTCGTTTCCTTCGAAATCCGCCACCTGAAGCGTCTCCGCCAGATCCATAAGGGGGGACAAATCGTCGATGTAGTTGAAGGATGCATAGAGCTCGACAAGACCTGGAGCACAAGCCCCGATTCCACGGAGGTCCTTGACATGGCAGTTGCTGATCCACAAATGTCTCAGCACCGAGTATCTGGCTCCGAGCAGACGAAGATGCGGAATGTTTGAGCGATTGAGCTTGAGCGAAGTGAGCTTCGGAAGTTTGACTCCGAGCCGGTCGACACCCATGAGTACCTCAGCATCGAAGCGGAGCTCCGTGCTGAGCACCAGGTCTAGATCCTCCAAACCAATCCAGCTTCGCAATAGGTCATCTGTCAGCACCATGTTAACGCAGCCAACTGTGGAGTCATACGGCAAGCTATCCGATATCTTTTCATTGTCGCATCGCTCTTCCTTATCGCGACCACTATAGCATATAGCTTGCTCCAAGGAGACAATGTCTGACAAGCATGGGGCTCTATCCCTATCTTTGTGAAATGAATCAATGGCGTGGCCTTGATCGGCTGCTTCCCTACTGCATAAAGGGGCTCCTGCTGATGAAAACGCCTCGTCAAGTTCATTGAAAAGATTGTCATATGCAGCGCGTTTGTTAGAGCGTGCTGGTATGCTGCTGGTGTAGCTGCTAGCAGACGTGGCCAATCGCCCGCGTTTTCCCACTGGTGTGCGCTCGTCCCGTAAAGGTGTGGATGGGCTAAAATCCGCACAATTATTAGTATTTCTCGGCTCATCTTGACTTAATGTAACGGCATCAACTGAGACCAAGGGAGTAGAATCTGGCACAGAGCGCTCCTGTGTAACGAGGCGCAGTGGTTGTTGCTTCTTTTGGTACATAAACGAGACTACAGAAGGCAGTGTAGAATTATCGATCGAATAGCTACCCTTGGGTTGCCCTAAGGACTTCGCTCTCGTGGTGGGGTTGTCAGCCGCTAGGAGGGTAACGTTCGATGCAGCAGCCGATGCTTCAGGGGATGAGGCGTCAGCTGGTAGTCCCGATAGTGGTGCTCTTTGTGGGCTTATTGAAGCAAGGTGAGGCCTTGACGTTACCGTTGAATTCTTTTCAGAAATAGGTTCGCGATGTGTAAATCTGAAAAGAGCCGGTTTTCGCGCCCCGTTTCGAGCAGGATAGTCATTTTTTAAAACATTTTTCTTCATTTTTATTAATTCTAAATTCACTTCGTACAACATAAAAAAAAATAGAAGTAGAGCGAGTTTAAAGAATAGCAATAATATCCTACTATCACTCTAGGATGCAACTCTGATGGAAGGGGAGGGGAGTAAAGGGCATAGTCGTGTACCGGGCAGAGTGACATCTGAACAAAATAATTATATAATCAGCTTTTCCCTTGATTAGCTTCAAGAGCTCTTTTCCTCAACTTTATTGGCTGGTATTACCTTGTCTGATCCCTCCCTCTTTTATATATAAATATATACATTTTAAGGCAGAGCGTGTGTAATCAAGCAAATTAAAACTGCCTTCACAGTGCTACAGAAAGCTTTCTGCATACGTTCAAATATTTTTTTCATAACTTTCTAGTCTTGTCTGTTTTGTAGGGAAAAGATTCACGAATGGTATGCATAAAGTTTTAGATAGAGTCTAGAAAATCCGGGATTGATTTTATCTATATTATTTATGCCCCAATCAGGTACATACTGGTGGTAACCCTTTACTTTAAACATCGTTTTCGGATGAGAAGGCTTCCTCATACGGTATAGGGGGAAAACGTCATGCATTGTGATTAATGTGCATAAATAATAAAATTAACCAATACAGAATATTATATGTAGCTATAAACATATATTTACATGTTTTAAAAAAAAGTGAGAGCAATAGCTTCCCTCCCTCGTCACACTCAAAAAGACACACACATAAAAGGGGAAGAGGAGGCGGGCGGGGATAAGAACAAGGGCGATAGAAACAACAAAAAGTTAAATCTCATAAAATTTCACTACGATGGTGGCCCCTTGTAAAAAAAAAATTCTGTAATTGCTTAAAGTGTGCCCCCATATTTGTATGATTTCGATTATAGAAGACTTACTCCCCGCTCAATACTAAAATCAAATGATCCTGTTTTACATAAGGTGGACTTTGACCTCATGACGATTCACTTTTGGCGGTGTATATGGTGTGTATCGATGGTTCTTCTCCCTTCTTAGACGGTTTCTTTCAATCAGATTCATCGACTCGAGGCGCAGGAGGTTTTGTTTCGCGATAAAAGAATCAATTAAATGAAATGGTGGGGGTGGGGGTGTCGTTACCTCCTGTAATTTCTTCAGGAACGCAACAGATTCGGGATCAGCGTCGTCACCAAGCGTAGGGGGGGTACGTCGACGCTTTGGCATTTGTCCACGAGTACGGTATAGATACCAATGCCAATAATTCTGTATGGTTGCGGCGCTCATGTTCAGCAACTCCTTCCCCCACACCATCTCGCGGTCGATATCAGCAATACGCTCGCGCGTGTATGCATCAATCTTAGCCTTCAGTCTCCTCTTGTTCCTCTCACGACTCTCCTTCATGCGCTTGATGAGAATGTACATGCGGAACGTGCGAGAAATCATACGCACCACACGATCCATGTACTCGTGCCTCAGCTGTGCGGTATGCAACTTCACGGTGGAACGTTGAGAACGGTACCGACGCTGAATAACACCGGCACTGAAGTCGAGGTCGTACCCATCCAGGTGCTCCTGCTTCCACTCCAGGCGGGACTGCACCACAGGGTGGGCCAGGCATAGCGCCCGCTCTTCATCCTTCCGCTGCGATGCCTGGTTGGCTGCCTTGACCCCGTCCCAGGTGACAGGTATGATGAGGTCGCGAGTCTTCCTGAATTGCAGCAGCGTGCGCTTCCCGGTAATTAAGGTCTTGAGGGCCCCCGCGGACACGGGCTGCTGACTCTCGTTCTCACCCTGCATCGACCCAAAGGGAATATTAACGTTGGCCAATCCCCTGTCCTCGGACGTAGAATCGTCATTCGAATCTGCATCCATACGGTTGTGACGGGGGCGCCACGGGAAGTAAACGATCCGCTTGGTCGCTATAGGGAAATTCAGCTCTGGGGGCCACTTCTCCTCCGGCATGTTGTACACATGCAAGCACTGGTCCCGCTCACGCTTGCGTAGGTACCATCGCACAACCCGCTGGAGTAAGATAGCTGCTCCATCGTACCGACTGCGCTGCCAAGTCATCATATTTTGCATAGTGGCCAAACGCTCTGCAATGTAATCCTTAGAGCGCTTTTCTGTCCACATATTTTTAAGTTTTAAAAGCTGATCATAGCGCTTGCGGGCAAGAACGGTACGCCACCAACATTGAATCACGCGCGCGCGATGGTTTAATACAGATTGGTAAACACGAATCACGCGTTGTTGGCGTCTACACGAAATGCCACGCCAAATCTTGCTGATCATTACCTGGGCCTGGTGTTCACGAGGACCCGCCTTCCGCAGATCGTTTTTCCAGACGGGTGTGGAAATTGCTTTGGGCGGAGTCACGCGCTGCGGAAACTCGTTTGGTGGGGTTGGCGGAAAAAAAAGAGTTTTCACAGGAAACGCCACATCATCGTAAACGCCAACAAAGGGTGATAAAGCTCCATTGAGTGACGGATGATAGGATATAAGAGCAGGGACGGCTCTCTCGCAGGTACCTGAAAAGTGTTCCAAACACATCTCAGGAGAACTGGCGTCGACGCATGCAACGAGATTGGACTTTACTTTAAGATTGTCACTCATCCCAATCTGCCCATGTTTGTGTAGCAATAACTGCATTGGTTCGGAATCTGAGCCTCGGTGAGTTGGAAGGCTGTTAGAATCCTGGGCAGCTTCCACCACCTCCGCGGGATGGCTAACGCTATCCGCAGCCGCCGCCTCGATACGCGAAGCCGCTTCGGACACACGCTTCAGCATGTCAGCAATTTCGCTGATTTATTAGGATTAGCTTATTTGAGCTCAAATATGTGGATAAGTGTATTCTTCAAATAAATTCGTATTCCTTTTGCTTGCTAAAGAGCAACATAAAGTAGAAAAGTAAAGCCATAAAACCTTCACTTAACAAAGGAACCTCCGTGGCATGCTAAACTAAAGCAAGTTTTATATAGACAGCATATTGGGGCGCCTCATATCTCCTTTCCGTATGCATAATTAGAAAATTGGGAAACTCATTGACGAGTTAAGTTCTTTCCTAAACACTTCCCTTTTCCGGATATTTTGTCTCAGTGGATATTTCTATCGTCTGACATAAACTCCTGCTCGACCACGCCATCTCCCACGTGAGGCGAAGAACCGGCGCGCATTCTCTCTACGTGTCCGTGTTTGTGATGCTTGCAAAGGTGTTGGAGACGCTGGGGATAAAGCGTTCAGTTCAAGTGGGGGTGTGGTATTCACAATGGACTGTGATAATGTGAATGGTACCGAAAAATTCGCTGCTGGGGGAGCGGCAAACAAAGATGATCCATCCTTGCCATTCTCATTCATCCGCTTCTTTGAGTCCTCATTGTGCAGAACTTGGCTACACGATTGCTCAGAGATGTGGAAAGCAGGGTTGCAGATGGGTGCATGAAGCTCTGAGGAGGCCAATCGGGCGTAAGCAGGCTGGTGCACCGCCTGCAGCGGCACATCACACTCGGTTAGCATCTGCTGGACACGACTGTGCGATATGAAGGGAAAATCCCTCTGCACCACGACTGTCATGGCCTCTAAGTCGACCGGTTCTAATATCAGTGCACGTTCAAACAAGCAAAGGTCGTCTAAATTCTCCACGGCACATGGATCCGGATCGAAATAGGAAGAAATAGGGACAGACAACCCCCTATCGCAAAGGCCTGGTTCGCCACCGTTTCGGGGTTTGGCATGTTCGAACATTCGCTTCTCAAGACACATTACCGCATGCCCTGCCAATGACGCCACAATGCATCGTTCATTTTCTTCCTGTAGTATTTCCTTAGCTCTCTGCCGTGCATACTCTAGGTCTTTGTGCGTTAGCAAGTATCGTTCTTGTTGAGCAATTAAGTCTGAGGCACGTAGAGGTTTATACGGTAGCCCAGATATGCGCTCCACTCGATGCAAGCACTCTGGCGCAACCGTGTGGTAAAAATAGCTACGAACAGCCAGAAGACGCAGTCGGGCCCGTAGCTCATCCGCTTCAATCATTTCCCGGTGAATGAGAGCTGCCCTTGTTTCATTGGAACCATCATTCCTCGTTAATTCCGGTCGTTTATCCTCCGGCATCTCACTGTTGCCCTGCGCATGTCCCAAAGATGACGAGCAGCGCAAACAAGGGGGAAAAAATGACATCGACAAATTTTCCTCAACGCTATCGAAGAGACGGACATCCTGCCGCAGCCCCAACCGACGGCACCAAACTCGCAAATCGAACAGGGTTAGTTGCGCCAATGAGGGATCGATGCGGTATGCGGCAACTAGTTCCTGTAGTGCCAAAGTTGTAGATCCTGCCCCGCCTGATTCTTCAGACCCCCCGCAGAGCGAGCTCGACGAGGCTGGATCGCCCCCACACAGAGCGCTAGGGCCTGTAATGGGCTCTTGAGACGGCATGGAAAGGCTACTCTGTACGTTCTCTTCGCGCACACAATGTGGAACTTTCCTCTGATCGTCACTCCTTTCTAGCCTTTCTCCACTTTCCACACGGGGCTCGCTATCGGATATTACGGTTACATCAACAGCGTCGCGTGGTGTATTGTCCTGGAGGCATTCCCCACAGCACCTAGAAATCGCAGACGTTTGTTTGATGCGGATGGGCGTTGCCGATGGGGATATTTCTGATCGCATGGGGAACTCTTCCACGAAGGGATGCACCAGTGGCCCTGTGTGCGCGACATCCATCATAGATTCAATAGCCTGAAGCCCAAACTGTTGCCAACAATCCTCTTCACTAGCCTCAGTTGCAGCTTGCTCTCCCTCTTCGGAGTTCCTCTCGTGGAACTCTAGAATATGAGTTTCTTTTGACTTAAGTGATTTGTCACCCTTAACTCTGAAGCATGCAGTACCTTCAGTGCTGCTCGTGTTCAACGACATTTTGGTGGGCTTTTGGACTCCCTTCTTGGAAAGAGGAATAAGTTCAACAGCTTCAGTCGATGTGAAACTCTCTGTGTTTGGAAGATCATTCACAGAGGAATATGTGCAGTCACATAATAGCATTGGTGAACCAGCTAAACAACGGCTTCCCGACTGTTCATAAGCATATTCTATACCAAGCGGCGTGTAATGTGACAAGATGTGTTTCCCCGTCATTTCCTTAATTACAGGCGCGGGAAGTTTGTGATTCGTGGGAGGGTCCCATCTCGCAGGGTAGAGTTCCATTCGAATATTCTGCTCCATCGCATCATCTTTTGAATTTGTGACATATTCGTTTAACCGTTCTCTTAGTTTGTTAACTTGAGATCCTAGGGGGAGAAAGTCGTCAAACGCACACTCTCCCTCCACGTCATACTCTGAGCAAACACACACACAACTACGATCGGCCAGAGATATTGAAGAAAAATTAGTTTGTATATGTTGCATTGTGACGTCATCACTTACTGCGCTGCGTTCTATGTTTCCCATACTGCCACTCAGTTTGAGGGCAGCTTGCGGCCGTTGGGGATCATCAAGACGGGCATGAGTTTGCAGACCCTCTGATGTACTTTTATCTACTCTGTGCTGAAGTAACTTAACGGTCGGTGATGTTTCCCCTTCGATGGCCTCTTCAGCACCCTGTACTGAGCTTACCTCATTTACGCTCGAAAACTTTCCAGAGTCAACACTCACTATAGAGTTGCCATACCTTATAACCCTTTGAGAAGCAGTAATTTGTAGGTCTATCTTCGCGACATCATCCCTTTCTTCCTCCTTTATGCATACCCTTGTACTTGGAGATGAATTCTTAGATAGCATGGAATGCCCATTGTCTAGCGCCACCGGGGTGGCACTTTTCACACATCTATAGGAATGGGGGACGACGTCGTCCCAGTGCTCAATATGATTGCTGTTTCCAATAGCACCCCAATGCGCGTCCGGCCCTGCCTCCTCAGCTGAGTAAACATCGCTTTCATCTGTACAAAGCAGTGAAGATTGGCCACAATTTACAAGGTCACTCAACAATACACTTCTCTGTGCATCTAAAAGGATAAGTCCTTTGGAACTAAGTGGATTCTGCTCAGACGCACTCGCTGCGCCTCTACTTTCACCACAACCGGAATCGAGCTGGTGCGGCTCAATCGGATCCCTGTATGGAACTGCACTACTAAGGCGCATCCGATCATCCTGTAAAGACTGTGCAAGCCTGCCCCAGTCTGAATCCGCGCCGTCAGAATTGGCTTCTACTAATTCATCCCTTTGCTCTGGATACACGGTGTCGGGGCTGGGCTTGACGCCTTCGACCTGTTCACCACCCCCTGACCTGCAGAACACCCCAAAATGAGAAGTCGGCTCTACAGGGCAAAGAGCGGTATCTGAATAACATGGGTTTGGGTGCTTCAAATGCGACCATGGTCCCGCCGCTCCCCACAATTCGGTATTGAGCAAAGCCCTAGAGGCTTGCTTAGCGGCAATAACATCGGCACTCACTTGCGCGTGAGCACTACTTGCCTCTTTTTCCACCAAGTCCTCTGCGTCTACGTCAATTGCCTCTGCAGGCGTGGTATTTGATGGCAACGTGCGCTGAGGGTGCAGCAAGGTCCCCCTGTGGGTGCCAACCCTACCGCTTCCACTGCACTCGCTGTCAAGATCGCCGTGGTACTCTAGCCACTTCCCTCGAGAAATACTCAGCCCTGCTGAGGTGCTTTCATCTGCTGCGGCCACAGACGCACCCAAACGACAGGCATTTAGCGAACAGGGGAGGATATCGAAAGCCCCGCCCTCTCGCACACCGCTAGGGCAAACACCATCTGATGCCTTTCCGAATTTGGTGATCCGATTTGGGTCGGTGTGCCCTCCCCAGAGAAGAGTATCGCAAAGCTGTGTTAAGCTAAGTTCTGTGAATTTGCCACTGTTAGCCTCCACGGCACATGGTTCCTGAGTGAACCCTAGACGAACTTGACCGGCATTTTCAGTACGAGGAAGTTTGACGCTTCTGGGTGCTAAAGATTCACCACTATCTATATTATCATGAGCAAAAGGACGACCATTAGGAATCCTTTTAGCTTTTTTACCCTTCCCTTCTCGCTTGGCCTCGTTCTCCATCCGCCGGACCCACTTTTTCAAGCCCTTCCACAAGGTGATTTGGTGCTGCCTAGAAGCATGCTCTCCCAGGATAGCTTTTGCATCCTTTTCACACCGAATACGCTCCACGAGCTCTTGCATAGACCGAATTCCATGGGCATAAATAAATTGCCCAGCGTATCCCTGAAGTTGGATCGAAGAAAGAAACCAAATGACAGGATGTGTGATGCTCATTTGCTCCGATGTCGATGCAGATGGAAGAGCAGCTCCGTTGGTCGTTGATTCTTGTTGAAATGTTGTTGTAGTGCAAAAAGAGAGTGCCCCGATAACATCTGATGCCACGGTTGATATTCCAAGCTTTTGTAAAGAAGCAGAACCAACATTTTCGACAAGCATCGGAACGCATCTACTAGTAATTTCACCTTCAACCGCAATACAATGAGAAGTGTACGTTTCGGCTTTGGGGTAGGCAAAGGTGGCACTTCCGCTAAAGTTCGAATTTTTCACCCCACATGTATGTGATTTTAACTCTTGAAATGAATGGGAAGACGCACTCACTAAATCAAACTCTTGAGAACATTCTCCTTTTCTAAGGACATATAGTTGGCCTTTGTCAAGCGGCGTGAAAATGGTAGGCGTGGATGTCCCTTCCCCGTCATCATTACTGACTATGTCATCCTCAATGACATTTTCGAAGTTCCCACTACGTATCCTCCTAGTATACTCCAGCATATAACAGTCAATGTTTCCTATTGTGCTTTGTATCGAGCAAAGCAAAAGCCAGCAGCTACGTCCAGGAAAAGGAAGTCCGTATAGTCTCTGAAGCGATCAGAAAACAGCAATGTATTAAAGAATTAGTTAAAGCTGTGAAAAACAAGACAGGGAACAGATTCTTGTAACCCCAAATTTAAAAAAAACGTAGTGAAAAAATCTAATTAAGCAGACAATAATTAAAAAAAAAAACTATCTACTTTTCTACAGTGTACCTTCTTCTCCCATTCCGCAAGCAGACACACACATGTGGAAAAGGGCCGTAAATGAAAGAGTAATAGCTCAGTGTTTATAGATTCATTTGATACTAAAGAGCTACATAAAATATTTTTATAAGCATAGGTATAACTAACGAAAACGGCGCACTTCCTGTGGACAATACATTCGCACATACAAAGACTTATGCTTTTTTACTCATTTTCAGATTATGGTACTGAAAGGAACCTGAAATAATAATAATAATGTCTCGAGTTTGCGTACTCTTCCACAAAAAATATTATCATTATAATTCCTGCTTGCTTCTAATTTCAGTGTCGAGCTCCTCCATAGCCCTAATGACAGCATCCAGCATCTCAACTAACTCCCGCTCGCGATGGCGCTGTTCTACAATGCTAAGTGTTGTTTCACGATGTTTGGCAAGTCGGGTATGGCTTCCATGGCTTTTATTCTTCATTTGGTGTTCAATGCTGGAGCCTGCTCTCCCAGCGTCGCTACCAGTATCCGTCTCTAAAGTAAGATTATGGATTACATCTACGGCAGCGGCGCCAGGGTTTGGCTGGCTTCCTCTTCGCATTTCGCGCAATTCCTTAGAAATCTCCTTTGCATGCTCCTCAAGTGAATTAAAGCGCTCTTTGATATCAAAAATGGGATCTATTTGTCTCATACGGACACGCTGCAGGGCCGATAGTTTGTCCACTGGTGGTAGCTCATGGCCATAGTGCATGATATCGCCTAGACGATCCTTTTCAGCTTCAGTTAAAGGTGGTTTGGTATAAGCTGGTGGCCTGGGAGGACTCTGCTGGCACTTCTCCCGCTCAATCGCCTCTAGTGGCTTTCGGTGTGGAATGCATCTCAGACGCATGCAGGCAATGTCTGTGCTGCTAGGCCGTGCACCCAAACCTACTCGTGGCCGGTGGACAGGCGCTTTAGACTTTGGAATGGGCTTTGGGTGCACCATAGCGGCCTCGGAAGCCTCTCGTTCCCGACGTCGCTTTGCCAATAGGGCAGCAAGCTCAGGGTCCAGGGTGCTAGGCTTTAATGGTACCGCATAGCAACGATAGATCGCGTCGCCAGCAGGAGTGCCGCGACCAAACACGTTAACCGCCTTCTCCATAAGTTCCAATAATGAATATGACGGATCAGAAAAGTGATCAATATGTCGACCGAAAAACGAAAAGTTGATACTCTACTTCTGTATTTTATATATACATATCCCAGCCCACAGAACGTGACAGCAGCTAGATATTTGGGGCTTGTTCCTTATCCTTGACGTTCTTATTCGTGTGTGCATAATGATGAGTGCCAAGATAGGAAAATAGAGGGGAGGAACAGCATGAGGAATGCCTTGCTCGAGAGGAAAAAAGCTTTACATAAACATGTTGCTATGAAGCTCACCATCTTCCCTTTCTCTAGTTTACCACACCAGAAAGAAGCCCCTCCTAGTGATTCAATGTGAAGGAAGCAAAGTAAAAAGTAAGACTAAAATATTATTCATTTGAGAACCTTAGCAAGTCATCCACCATTCGCAGAGCATCTACAAGTATCTCCTCTGTTGCAACGTCATCTGGTGAGCTTCCCTGCACCTCAGTGCTACACCAGCCCGCATACGCTGACAATGCAGAAGTGGATTGATAACAGCTACTTGGCACTCGCCCATAATTTTGGATACCGCTATGTGGATTCTTTTTTGAGTTAATGCCATCATCGTTCGATATAGTAGCGGGAGCAACCTCAGAACCCTCTTCTGCAGCGCGATGCATGGCACCTTGCACTGAATGACTTCGGGCCTTACTCTTCCACAGAGATTGAAGCTCCTCAAATGCATTGAACTCGCTGTTCGTCATTTGGCTTGGGGAGATGTAGTATATTTTATCCACCTCTTTTCTTGCCTTTTCCTCAGGCGTAATTACCACCTCTGGAACGACACCACTTGAAAGAATGCCGTCGTGGTCGAGGTAAGTGAATTCGCTCTTGCCGATAATTTTATGGTGAGAAACGATATGAATGCCACCCGGGGGCTCTGCGATCCTGTTAGTTTCGTGGCTGGTCGAAAAGCCCTCATGTTGTGATGCCAAGCGTAGACTCATAGGGCAGCCTTGACGATCGGACTCCGTTTTAAGCGAACCCTGATCCAGAGAAGGGGAGCTCGAACAGGCGACGAGTTGTCCTTCGCATGTTCGCGTAAGAATACCGCTCTTTCCAGTTGTAGAAGGAACGGAAAAAAAAGAATACGTGATAGTGTCGGTACTCCTCTTCGCAAGTGGCGGTAGAATCACTCCTTCATAAGCACGTTCATCCTCCACATCGGCCGCCATCGCCTGGAAGCCCTCGGAAGACGTATATGTATGAAATGCGCGTCTCCATATAGCAATAGATGCTGGAAGAGTAACACACTCAACGCGTTCCCTTTTCCGCGTAAGCTCTGTCAGTGTAAGAGCCTGACCGGGAGTGTAGGAAATACTCGCCGGGGTGTTAAGATGCACAAACCCATTTCCTCGTTTGTCCAAGGAGGTCATATTGTTAAATGGAAAAAGGAAGCTCCTTTTTCAACTACAACTTCTCTTTAGTGTCGTGATGTGCTCCTACTCTGCCCTAAATAGAAATTATTGTCTTTAGAAGCTCAATATAGAGAACTCTACATTTCAAGATATTAAAAAATATTCGACACTCAATAATGAGAAATGCATACGAACAGTGAATAAATGGATAAATGTTGCGCTTAAAGTATTCGAGGAAAGAAAAGTATCCTCACTCGCTAATCTATCTGAAGCAAACAGAATACATTCGAGCTATACTACACACACACACACACACACACACACACACACACACACACACCTACCCCTCCCCCCCCTACAAGAAACACTA